CTAAAGTGCTTCTCCATTGATTCAGCAATTTTTTTGTTCCAGGACTATGATGATGCTGAGAATTCAAGAATAAGCTAAACAAAACACAAAAAGATCACATATGACATGATTGAATTTTCATGAAATATCCAGAATATGAAAATTCACAGAGATGAAAAGTAGATTAGAAGCTGGTGTAGTGGTACACATCTGTAATCCCAGCTCTCCGGAAGCTGAGGCAGGAGGGTAGCAATTGGAGGTCAGCCTGGATTATGTAATGAGTTCGAGGCCAGTCTGGGCTACATAGTGAGACCTGTCTCAAAACAAATGAAGTAGATTCGTGGTTTCCAGGGGCTGTTGGAAGGAGAGAATGAGAGTACTGCTAAGAGGCACCGAGTAGTTTTATTTTTTTAGGGGTGACAAAAACTGTTCTTGAATTAACAGAGATGGTTGCATGATTGTGATTATACTAAAACCCTCTGAATTGAACCTTTAAAAAAACTTTTTAAAAAATGAGCTAGATAGATACAATTTTGCTGTTCGGTTAGCTTATAGCCTGTGATTGGATACATAGAGACAACTATGATATATGTTACAATAACCTGGATTTGTCCTTTAGGCTGACAGAGTAGCTCAAGTGGTAGAGCACCTGCCTAGCAAGCATGAGGCCCTGAGTTCAAAGCTCAGTCCCACCAAAATCATTCCTTGAAGCCAGGTGTGTTGAGACCCCCCCCCATATCAACAAATAGGTGATGTGGGATATGTCTGTAATCCCAGCTACTGGTAGGCATGGATAGGAGGATCATGCTCCAAGACCAGCCTGGGCAAAAGCACAAGACCCTCCTTGAAAAATAACCTAACCAAAAAGGGTTGAAGGTGTGGCTGAAGGGGTATAGTGCCTGCTTAGCAAGCACAAGTCCCTGGGTTCAAACCCCAGTACTGCCAAAAAAGAGAGAAATTATTCTTTGAGAAAATTATACTAAGCTATGTCCAGAAGATGAGTAGGAATTGGTAATAGAGGAGGATGTTTCAGATGGTGGGAATATTGCCAAAACCTAAAAGCCAGGGGGAATAATCTTTTAGAGTAATTAAACTGGGTAAAAATGTCTGCTGCGTAAAAGTGCAAATGATTGGAGACGAGGCCAGGGAAGCATGAGCCAAATCTTGAAGCCATGATGAGTTTGGATTTTATTCTGAGGACAGCGGGGAGCCATTAAAGTACTTTAGTCTGGGAAATAATACATAATCGAGTTTGTATTTTAAAAAGACAACTCAGGCTGCAGTATAAAGACCAGAAGGGAGAAGGCCAAGGCCAGTGACAGGCAGACTAGTGAGCCTGATGAGACCTAAGGTAGAGACGACAGCAACACAGATAAAGTGAGGAGTGGGCACATTTGAGAAATGCTAAAGTCATAGTCAGGGCAATGAGGCAGAGGTCAGGGTAAAGTCACAGATTGCAGGCTTGAGTGATTGTTTGGTGACATCATTCACTTAGCTAGGGCACAGAAATAGGTTTTTGGGGAAAAGAATTCACATTTGGGTGTGTTCAGAACATCAAAATAGAATTGTCTAATGGACAGTTAGTTATGAGTCAGTAACTCCTGAAATTGATGTCACCTGGGTTATACATTTAAAAATCATTAGATACAAATAGTGAGGGAAATAATGGAAGTATGTTTGTTTGTCTTTAGAAGAAAAAAGAAAAGAAAAAGAAAGGCTCCTGGAACAGAACCCTGAGAAATACCAAAAGGAAAGGAAAAAATGGGCAGGGGGAAAAAGTCTGAAGACAACAGTGAGGAGGAACAGCTGGGAGGCTGGAGGAAAACCAGGAAATGAAATGCTAATATAGGATTTTTTTAAGCAAACTTGCTTTGTTACAGATAATGAAATGTGTATTAGAAGGGGTTCCAAGTGCCTTATAAGTAATGACTAATCCCAAAATAATCTCATGGAGTAGGTAGTTATTATCTTTATCTTCTAGATGGTGAAACTGAGGCACACAACTTGCCCAATATCTTATGGAGAGTGAACTGTAGACTGACATGCAATCTTAGGCAGTTTGGCTCCAGAAAAGTCTGTGCTTAGCCACTGGGTTATATGCCACCTCTCCAGATGACCATATGCTCAGAGAAACAGTGAACAAACCCTGAAAAATTAGATCTATTATTTCCATTTTACAAGAAGAAAACTAAACCCCAGAGAAATTAAGTAATTTGGCCAGAGTCGCAGAACCAGTAGGTAGATGAGTCAGAATTTGGATTAATTCTGAAGCCTTTCTGTACTAGATTATACTGCTGGTTATTTTTCTCTGTGTGCGTACAATTGTATGTGTATAAAATTTAATTTTACTTATTTTATAAATATTAATTCCTAAAGAACATACCAAATGCTAACAGAGCCTAGTTTGAATCTTTTCTCAAAATCGAGTGTCCTGGATGTTTTAGAGACTTCAGTGATAATATCAATTTAATCAAGGCCATCCACTTGTTCTAAATATAGGTGTAGTGGGATACCATTTTCAGGCCTTGATTCTCTAGCCATGCCATGAGCATCTCTTATGATCACCGAGAAATAAAAAATCCCTACCAACATAGAAAGCTATTTAAAAATCATTATTCCTCTTATGTATTGTCTCTAAAACTAGTAACTACCCCAGCAGGGAGTCATAGTTTAATGGGTTAGAAGTAGAACCTAAACTCTTATAGCTATTTTTCCCTCCTCGCTTTATTTCTTGAAATTTAGAGGGAGGCAACAGATGTGTTGAGTCAGATTTGAAGGTTATGCTCTGAAATCAACAAAGGAAACCTTGGAATGTTGAGGACTCAGAGACTGCTGGGTAGTTTCCAGTCTCATCTAAACTATTGTGATAGAGTGTCCCCTAGTGCTGGTTTGAAGAAGCAAGTTGAGAGAAACTAAATACTACCTGTTCATAATCTTTGTCACCGCCTTGTGGCAGTGTCCTCAAATAATTCTAACTTTTTACTGGCAAAAATCTTCCAGAATCTTGGATTAGTCCAAGATCAAGAATCAAGGTCAAGATTAGCACGTGCGATCAAGAATAGAATTTCTTGAAGTGGGTTCTTTTACAGCTGCTTTGCTCATAATTCCATAAAACTTTGCAAAGAAGCCCCACTGAAATTAAGGCATTTGAAAAGAAGGGAAAATTTGTTTCCTTTTTTTATGTTAGTGAAACAAAAGAGGTGGAAAGAGACTTTTAAATGACAACCTTTTTTAACGTGGTAAGCTATGCGTAACAACCTCCTCACCCTGACCACTCTCAAGTGTACGATTTAGTGGCACTAGCACATTCGTCATGGTGTGCAGCCATCACAAATACCCGTCTTCAAAGCGTTTTCTTCATCCCAAACAGAAACTGTAGTCATTAGACTCCCCATTCCTTCCACCTCTGGCCCCTGGTGACCTTTAGTCTACTTTGTATGAATTCGCTTATGTGGGTTCATACAATATTTGTCCTTTTATATCTGACTTTTTCACTTAACATATTTTCAAGGTTCATTTACATTGTGGCAGGTATCATCTCTAAAGACTGAGTCATACTGCCTTGTATATGCCACATTTTATCTATTTATATACTTTTTTGGGGGGTGGCTGGGGCTTGCTATGTTGCCCAGGCTTATCTCTCTAACCCTCCTGCTTCAGCTTCTCCGTAGCTGGGACTGCAGGTGCATGCCACAGCACCCCCTGTTGATCATTCATCTGTTGATAGACAATTGGGTTGTTTTTACCTTATTGTTCTTGTGAACAATGCTGCTGTGAACATTAGCACAATTACCTGAGTCCCTGCTTTCAATTTTGTGGCTATATATTTAGAAGTTGAATTTCTGGGTACTACGGTAATTCTGCTTAGATTTTACATTCCCACCAACAGTGCATAAGCGTTTACATATCTCCACATCTTCACTAATGCCCATTCTTCTTTTGAATTGCCATCCTAATGGGTATGGAATATACGAACTAACTTTTGAGCGTTTCAATTTGCCAAATAAATTACACCTGAAGTTAATTAAGAACTATTTTGAGGTTGAGGATGGTGGCTCATGCTTCTTTTCCCAGTTACTCTGGAAGTAGAGATGGGGAGGGTTGTGGTTTGAGGCCAGCCTAGGCGAAAAGTTAGCAAGACTCCATTCTCCATTTCAATCAATAAACTGTTCACCTGTTATCCTAACTACTTTGGAGGCCACAGATAGCAGGATCCTGGTTGGAGGAAGGCCTCAAGCAAAAACTCAAGACCCTATCTGAAAATAACTAAAGCACAATGGGCTGGAGGCATGGCTCAGTCGTAGAGCACCTGCTTAGTAAGTGTGAAACCCCAGTACTATTAAAAAAAAAAAAGTATTTTTGAGCTCTGCTTATAACAAGAACACTGTTACACAAAGATGAGTAACATATACTGTAGAGTCTTCAGGTGATTTATAATTTATTTTACTCCTGAATATATATTTATAAATGAGTAAATTATCTTGTAATTTTCATTGGGTGGTTGAAAAAATTAATCCAGAGAACTTATGCCAAATTTAGAGAAAATTGGTAATGGAGATTAAGCTGTTTATTAAATTTATTTACAAAATAATTCAGTCAACTTCTGTAGTTCTCATTTGGAAGATTCATAATCACAATTTTGCCAATTCAAGTTCACTTTATTCATTTTATTAGTTAAGATAGGGCCTGATAGTACTATTTCCTATTTCAGTATTCATTCTCCCTTTGTGTTCTCAAAATTGAGTTTGGGGGCTAGGGGGTGTGGCTTTGTAAGTGTGACCCCTGAGTTCAAACCCCAGACCCACCCCCCAAAATAATTGAGTTTGGAAAATTTCTCTTAGAACAATCTGGGAAACAGTGTATGCTTAACGGTCCTCGATTATAGTTTTGGGTTGTTCTTAGAATTTTTCAATTCCATCTTTGGGACGAGTAAGCCAGGAAGTATCACATTGGGGAAGACTCTAATTAATTTTTTTTTAACAGGTTGGAATTGTTGAAAGAATCCTGATATAATTTCCATAATGGCTACTGCTCAGCTCTCTCGCTCCATCAGGATACGCAAGGCATCTAAGGTATCTGTTAAAAACTAAAAGAAAATCAATGACCATTTAGTGGATTACTTAGAATCATGATTTTAATCTTTCTTTCTTAGCAGCAGTGTACAGTTAATTGACACATAATATTGTGGGGCAATGTGTTTACATTCTGACTGCTCAGTGGACTGAAGATACTCAGAAAACTAAACTAGATTACAAATTACTTACTAGGTGCTTGTTTATGTTATGTCCGTACATCTTCTAGAGTAAAAGACACCAGAAGAAACGATGCTTAAAAAACTGTAATTATAAGAACTTTATTATAAGAACTAAGGACAGAGAACAGGGAGAAAACTGGATGCTAGAAATGTCGGGGAGCGTGTTTGCTTTCTATTGCTGTGACAAAATACCTGAGACAACCAACTGGAAAGGAGGCTTGTCTCAGATTTCAGTGTATGGTTGGTTGATTCCATTGTTTGGGACCTTGCGCTGAGGCAGAACACCATGGCAAGAGCTCATGGTGGAGCAAAACTGCCCACTTCATGGAGGCTGAGAAACAAAGGCAAAGAGAGAGGAGGCAGCAGGGTCCCAATATCCCCATCAAGGGCCACCCCACTGACCTGAGTTCCTTCCGTTAGGCTCTTCTGAAGGGTCTACCACCTCCCAGTAACACAGTAGGCTACTCTTCGACTGTGGAGGACATTTAAGCTCCAAAAAGGGCTGGGATATAACTCAGTGATAGAGCTCTGAGGCCCTGGGTTCCATCCCCAGCACCAAAAAGAAAAGAGAGAAAAAAAAAAAAAAGATCCAAACATAACAGGGAGCATGTGAGGGCCAGGCAACCCTGCTGGACTGGGCCAGGGCAGTTTAGCATGTCCTAGGACATTCGTTAATGCATCATTGATTTATTCATTAATATTCAGTATTACATAATACATGTAATACTGTGTTAGTTTATGAGAAAATACAAAAATGATCCTTATCTTACAGAAGTTTATAATTTGGTTAGCGAAATAAGATTTAAGATAGTTAGGTCAACTTGCCTACATTTATACATATGAAAAAAGAGTAAGTCAATTCAAATACTAGGAATTTAGGGATTTAGTATATGGCAGAATGCTTTGTATACACCTCACGAAGGAGGCGAGACTTAAGCTGGATCTTGAATGATGAAAAGGCTCCAGATGGAATTTCATGAGGAAAACCCAGCCCATGCTTCAGAATAAGGAAGAAGCATGGCATCTTTGAGCAAATAACAAAGAAGCCATCCTCACTGGGCTGGACAGATCAGCATGTTGGGTACAAGGACAAATTAAAACCAAGCTAAAGAATATACGCTTTGTTTTGTGATTAATGGAAAAGGCAGGTGGTTTGATCAGAAGAGTGAATAAAATAATTGTTTTGAGAATATTAAATTACAGCAGAGATAGAAAAGATTGAAGCTGAAGGAGAAATAGGGCAGATAGAAAGAAGTCATCTTTCTGGCTTGGTTTCAGGAAAATCACCAAGCAGACTCCTGAGCTCATTTGGTTTCCTAAGTGTGCTTCCTTCCTCAGGGAAAATGCTGAGCTGGGTATATGAATTGCAATCAGCTTGGCAGTTATTTTTCTCACTGTAAATGAACAAACTGACCTTTTAATACAATCAGATCTTTGTTGTTTGGGCTGCATGAGCTACTTCTCCCAGCAAAACTTAAGTGACAGTGCAATTTTGTTAGTCAATACTAAAAACAACAACACTAATAATTATAGAAGCCAGCATTTACTCAGCACTTAACTATGCGCCAGGCACTGTGCCAGGGGTTTTATTTATTATTTCAATCAAACCTCTCAATAAGGAAGAAACAAAAGCCTGGAGAAGTAAGATAGCTTGCTCAAGGTCATATAACTTGACAGCTAACATGTCAGTATTACTGTGGCACCAGCATGCTGTTTTATTAAAATAAGCTTATAATAGTGTTTTCTATTTTCAAGCTGTTTTCATGTATTAAACATTTCTTAAAACTTTGATAATAACCCTTAAAGTATTAGACCAGCTGAGCTAAGAAAAACAAAATCCCTGAAGTAACAAAACTGTAGGAGGCCTTTTCCAACTATTTATCTTCATTACTACACATGGCCTTTTCAATTTTATATTTAAAGTAAATGCCATTAGTATACTTTTGAGCTATTTAGTTTTACAAATCAGTTGTTCAAGTATTGTCTATGCTTTGTGACGTTTTCAGTAAGTTACAGTGTACATGCCATACCAGCCATTTCCCAATTACCAAAAGATATAGGTACAAAAAGCTATATTTTTTTGAGACAGGGTCTTGCTGTGTAGTCCAGGCTGACCTGGAACTCACTGTTTAGTCCAGGTTAGCCTCAAACTCACAATCCCCCTGCCTCTGCTTCCTGAGTGATGTGATTATGGGCACATAACACCTTACCTGGCCTCTCTCTCCCCAAAATTAAAAAAATTCACCCCTCAAAATCTACATAGATGAGTAATCATGTTGTTATATGCCTTTTAAATAATGATATGATTTAGCAAAAAAAAAGGATGAGGTGATAATTCATTTCCACTACATAGTATACTAAAGAGGAAGTGTTATTAAAGAGCAAAATCATGCCTAGAATATCCAGAAGACATCTTTTAGATGTCCTCCCTCTAAAGATGTATTTGTGAATCATACCTGCCTCTAAGTAACAGAATTGGAAAAGCTTCAGCAGTTGGACTGTGTAGTATAGTGAAAGGACTGTCACTTATGAGCTCTGTGATCTGGCGAACTGCTTAACCTGTCTAGGTTTGTCTTTGCATCTGTGATGTGAACGCATTGTGTTAGATTCGTCCTGGGGTCATTTCAATTTAAAAATTATAAAAAGCCTAAACAAGGCTGTATAATGCCTAAACAAGGAATTTATGTATTTAGTAAACATTTTTGCATTAGCATGTCTTAGTTGTACGGGGGGTTTCGTTGTGACATTTCCACATATGGTACTGTGTACCTTGGTCTACACAAGGAATTTATATTTGATTCACCTAGGTAATTGTCTCAAATTTAATCTGATGAAGAGAAATTCTTCTGTTTATTTATTATTAAGGCCCCAACTATGGATAGTAACAGAATTCCATCTAGATTAGTGTAGTCTCACTACAACTAAAGTGGCTAAAGCTTATTTTGTCACTAAGTTCTAGAATCCTAGAACTTACCCAAATACACTTTATCATTTGGAAGCCTACTGGTTATAGAAGGTTGTAAATATGATTTGGTCTTAAAAAGAACTTCATCAGCTTTTGAGAACTAGTACTTTGCTGTGCATGTAAAATACTTCTGATAGTCCTACGGAAGTTAATTCTTCCTTAACTCAAGAATTTAATTATAGAAGAAAATTTTCATTATCCAAGTGGCAGAGGTTTTCTGTTACTATAAGAATTAAATGCAGTTTCTTTAGTGTGGCATTCTAGATTTGCTACATCTTGACTTCTGTCTACTTCTCCTTATCTTCTCTCCCACTCTACCCTGATTGAACTCTCAGCCTCAGCTATTCTGGCCTGATTCTTGTGCCCCAGAATTCTTGCCCTCTTGCCCATACTAATTACATCATCTGAATTCTTCCTGCTCTTCAGTGCCCAGCTAAGTCTCACTTTCCTTACAAAGCCTTCCTACTCAGGGGGACAACACTGTCCATAGCCTCCAGGGTCTCTCCACTTATTTGGTACTTATCTCTTCTGTCTATGTGTTTATTCCTCTTTTATGTCCCAGTTCTTTCTCTCCAGCTGGATTGTAAATTCCATAAGAGTTTAGGTGTTGTCTTCATTTCACTTTAGATTTTCTTTGAAGTTTTATAAATTGCCAAAGTAATTCATGTGTGTTGTAACAAGTGAAGCTGTACATGAAAAATAATGAGCTGTTGAACCAGGCACTATTCTAAGAATTTTATAGACATTAATTCATTTCATCCTCACAACAACTCAATAAAAGTAGGTATCACTATTACCCTATTTTGCAATGAAATAATTGAGGTACAGAGAGGTTAAGTAACATGTAAAATCAGGTGCCTGCCTGAAATAATTGAGGTACAGAGAATTTAAGTAACTTACGTAAAATCAGGTGCCTGCCTCTGTTTATTGTAAGTAAAGCTCTATTGTAACATAGCTGCATCCACTCAGTTTCATTGTCTGTAGCTTCTTTCATGCTACTATGGCAGAACTGCAAAGCCTACAGTGTTTACTATCAGGATCTCAACTGGAAAAGGTTGTTACCATTCTCAACATCATACAGCTTATTAGTAGCAGAAAAGTTTATGCTTTAACTGCTTCACCACACTGCCTCCCTCAGCCCCTCCAGCCCACCCTCTGAGGTGACTAATCTTAAGAACTTCGAATGCTTCTTTCCAGACCCTTTTTTCCCCTTGCTCTTACAAACATTCTTGGCCGTCTGTCTCAATCTATCCATCAATACATATCCAGAGTTCATTCTAGTTATCCATAGTAGCCATGCTTTGTAAAGTTTCTGTAAGCACTGGATTAGTGAACACTTAACTGCTACTCTTAGGAGAAATACAGGGGTAGTTCCCATGAGCCTCGAGTCAAAACATTTTTGACTAGGGCTGGGGGCGTGGCTCAAGTGGCAGAGATCCTGTCTAGCAAGTACAAGGACCTGAGTTCACACCAGTACCTCCAAAAAACCCCAAGCAAAGATATCAAAACACATTTTTGTTAATGCATCACCATATAATTCGTGTTCTGTTTCTGTTTAAATACACTTAATACATACTGTTGATTCGTTAACATTAAACTCAGGTAAGTTAGGCCTAAATTAAAGTTATCCAATATATCTACATCATGTCTGTCTGTCTGTCTATATCTATCTGCCCACTATCAGCATCATCTTTCTTCTCTCTAAGGTGTATCACAGCCTTCTTGAATTTATGAACACAAACTGGCACTTCAGCACTATGTTTTAGGACTTTTTAAATAGAAAAATCACCAAAGAGAACACAAAAATGTAAAAAACAAGGTTAACAGATGCAGGTACAATTATATTGGAAGAATAACTTCTTGTTTGTTTGTTTGGTGGGACTTGTGTTTAAACTCGGGCTTTGTACTCTACCACTTGAACCACACCTTCAGTCCATTTTGCTCTGGTTATTTTGGAGATGGGGTCTTGCGAACTATTTGCCCAGGCTGGCCTTGAACTGGTATCCTTCTGATCTAAGCCTCTCAAGTAACTAGAATTATAGGTCTGAGCCACTGGCACCTGGCTGGGTTTTTTTTGTTTGTTTGTTTGTTTTTGTTTTTGAGACAAGGTTTCACTAGGTAGTTCATATTGGCCTTGAACTTGTTATGTAGCCCAAGCTGGCCTAGACCTCTGAATCCTCTTGCCTCTGCCTCCTGACTGCTAGGATTTTAGGAGTGTGCCACCATGCCTGACTAAGGGGAAGAACTTTGATGTTCTATTACACAGAATAGCCATAGCTTGCAATCAATGGTTGATTACTTCAGAATAGCCAGAAGAGAGGAATTTGAATGCCCCCAACACAATATGATATATTTTTGAAGGGATGGATATGCCACTTACTCTGATCTGATCTTCACATACCATATCCTTACATACTGAAATGTCACACTGCACCCATAAATATATTCAATTATCATGCATTAGTTAAAATAAAAACATATAAAAAGAAAAAATCAAATATACCAAACTTTGTAGATAATAAGCCTCTTTTTTCCCTTCCTCTGTGTGCTCATGTATGCTACCACATGTTTTTTAAGTTAACAGCATTCATAACGTAGGTGGCTGATCTTCGATCACTTTCATCCTCAAGATGTCACATATGTTGGCAGTCAATAGGTGCTTGTTGTTTGTTCTGCAAACACTTACTGATTGACTTTTGTGTGCCAAACACTGAGCTAAGTAGTGAGTTCACAAAAATAAATAAGACCTGGTACTCTGCCCTCCGACATTGCATCAGTGGTAGCTAGTGTCATCCTTGTGGTATGAGCTTAGAGTGACCAGGAGAGGGAGTAATAACCTCTGTCTCAAAGGGTCAGAAGGCATTGAGTTAGAGGTGACTCTTGGATGTAAACTCCATGAGGGAAAGGATTGTGGTCTGTTAGGCTTCCTACCTTAGCTCAGAACCGGAAACAGGACCTGGAATACAATGAGATTAAATAAATATTTAATTAACATTTCCTTATTTTGAGACTGGAAAGAACATTCCTGGCCCAAAGAACTGCCTGAGGCAGTATTTTCCAAACTTATTTGACCAGCAAACACTTAAAAAAATTTTTTAACTGAATGTATATGTTTATAAAATACAAGTATACAACTAAATGAATTATTACCAACTGAACACAATTTTGAAACTAGAAGGCAGATCAAGAAAATTGACAATACCAACAGCTCCTCTCATGTTCCCTGCTAGTCACTGTTCCCTTTTCCCACCAAGAAAAACCACCGTCCTGACTTCTAACAGCATAGATCATGCTTACCTGTTTTTGTGTTTTATATAAATGAAATCATAAGATAGTATCCATTTGTAGCTATATTTTTTAACTCAGCATTGTATGTGAGAGTCATTGTATTGTGAAGTGTGATCCTAGATCATGCATTCTCATAGCTGCATAATATTCTACAGGGGGAGTACACCACAATTGGTTTATCTGTTCTATTGATATGATAAGCATTCAGGTAGTTTCTAGTTTGGAGCTATCACAAATGATGCTGTTATGAAATTTTAATGCATGTCACTTAGGGAACATATGTAAACATATGTAGGGGGTGTATACTTATGACTGGAATGTGATATATCCTGTATGTGTGAATAGTTAGCTTTATAAAATGCTGCCATGCGTGGTTGTGTGTTTGTAGTTAAGTGGTAGGGCACCTGCCTAGTATGCAGGTATGATTCCATCCCCAGCACTGCAGAAAAAAAAATACTGCTAAGCGATTTTCCAAAGTGGTAATATCCAGTATTTAATAGTTTTTATTGTTTTACATCTTTGTCAATGTTTGGTGATTTCTGATTTTTTAGCCATTTTTTTGGTGTGTAGTATTCTCTTATTGTGATTTAATGTGCATTTCCCTGCTGAAATTCAAGCACCTTGCACCTGCACATTTGTTTATTGGCCAGTTGGATACACTGTGTGTGTGTGTGTGTGTGTGTGTAGTGTTTAAGCCTTTTGCCCATTTTCCTATTGAGTTATCTACCTTTTAATGAAACTTAGCAGTTCTTATATATTCTGGGTATGAATCCTTTATTAGAAGTATGTATTGAGAGTCTCTTCTCCCACTCTTGAGTTGCCTAAGTTTAATTGAATTTATCAATGTTTGGAAAATACTCTAAAATTATAAGGTATTGATGCAATACCAGCTGGAGTTCATGAGACTGATTTTGGCTTAAAGAAGACAGCAAAAAGCAGTCTCTGAGGAATTGATTATGACTAAAATGATAAAAGTTTAATTTTTATGTTAATATATACCCAAATGTTGAGTAGTGTGACAAACATGTAAAAATGGTAACTCAAGATGCCCCGCATAAACTGTGTGCCAGCAAATATTCTACAGCAAGATGACTGTTGGAGACACTCCTTATATACTGAGGAAGTCACAAATGGATGTATCTGCTGTTCTCTAATGACAGTCTTCATATAGCACACCATTTCTTAAGCAGACTATGCAGTCAATTAAGAGCAGTGGTATAAATTGGTTTAACAAACTGTGTGGACACACACACTTTAGCAGGAAACTGTTGGTAGCACTGATACTTTTTATAGAACCCATCTGACAGCTTAACAGAATCTTAGTTCCAGCCTTCAGAAGCACAAGCAAACGGAAATAGACGGTGGTAGAGCAGTAGAGGAAGAGCAGTTCCATCTGGCTAGCGAGTAGATGTATGGGAGAGAATGCAGGAGTGAGAGATGCGAAGAGCTAGATGAGGACAAGATTTTGACAGGTCTCAAAAGCCACGCAAGGGCACTTGAACTCTGTCCTGTATGTACGTGGAGAGTGTCATATGATTCCTGTTCGTGAAAGTTAATTCTGATGGCAGTATGGAAGACCCCCTGAATGAAAAGAACTGTTGCCAGGGAGAGCAGGGGCCACTGCAGCCATAATGGGCAGAAGTGAGTGTGTCCTGAGCCTTGGTCATGGTGATGAGAAGGGAAAGGAGAAAACTGGGTTGAGAACTCTTTCAGAGGGACCTTAGTGGTTGAGTATGGAGTATAAAGAGATGAGAAGCCAACAGTGAAGATGTGTCTAGCCTGGATGGCAGGAATCCATGCTGATTCATTCATCTAAGAATGGACCTTGGGATCAGGTTTCAGGCAGGTGTGGTAGATATGAACTGAGTCTGAGGGATCTGCCAGTGATCTAGGAGCAGATGTGCAGAAATTAGCAACGTAGAGGCAGGACCCAGAACAGAAAGAGGGACTTGAAACCCTCCTCGCAGAAGCTGTAGTTGATGTTGTGAGAATAGATGAGATTATCCAAGAAGAAAGCTAAGAAAAGAGAAAAAGGCTGAAGACAGAATCCTGGGGTAGAACCAACACTTAAAGGGCAGGACAACCGAAAAAAATAAGAGCTAGGTGTGCAGGGATAGGCAAAAACAAAATAGTGTTATCAGGCTGGGGGTGTAGCTCAGTGGTAGAGCACTTGCCTAACACGCAAGGCAGGATTGCTAGAACAACTACAGAACAAAGTAGTGTATGGCAAGCCTGAGGGAGAGAAAAGAGCTCTATGGGCAACTGTGTCAGATGTAGCGAGGAAGTTATGTATAAGTGAGGAACTAGACCGGACTCACATGGTGACTTTGGAGAGACTAGTATAGAACGGAGAGGATAAAGATTGCAGTAAGGGCTGAGGACTGCATGAGGAAGGAGATTATGCAATCCCAGCAAAACATTTTTGCCTCAAATCTGTGGCTCACTGTGAAATCAATTGTTTTTAAGTTTGAGTTACTTGGGTATTGTCCCTTCTGCTCTGCCTTGCCTGCAGTATTCAAAGCCTGTTTCCTTTTGATTGCCTATGAATGTGTCACATTTGAAGTCTTGAAAAATCTTTTCATCCTGGCTTGAATATATTGAATGCTAATCTTTCATCTTTGTCCCCCACCCCACCAGGAAACAGTTTTCCCGTCCCAAATCACTGATGAGAGTGAGTCATTGATAATGGTGAAGAAACTTTTTGCTACTTCTATCTCATGTATAACCTATCTAAGGGGCCTGTTTCCAGAGAGCTCTTATGGAGAACGCCATTTGAACGGTAAGGTGGAATTAAATGCTGCGTCAAGCATGGTAGTCCTTTCCTCTACTTAGCAGAAGGAGCACACTTTTTGCTTCTCACAGAGTGCTAATTCCAGGTCATGGGCCTGTTTTTAAAGACTAATTTGCTAATCCGTTTTCCATGTTAATTTTGCTTTGTTTAGTGGTTTTACTTATAGGAACCATTAGCTTCTGGCTGGATACCAAATGAAAACAGAAATCTGTAGGGACAAGCCTAGCAATTCTAAGCTCTCCTTGTAAAAGCAATAGCCAGAACCAAACCTATTTAAATGCTGAAGATTGACACTGCTTTGTACCTCAGTTGACTTTGTTCTTTGAAATATATTTTGACATTGAGGAAATTGAAAGGAACCAGGTGAGAAACTCCTTCTCCCTATTAACTTACATAATATGCATGGAAGGCAGCCAGACCCATTTTGATGAGCATGGGTATTTAAGCAGCTGTTATCCTAATAAGTTCTGTCTTTTCTCAATTGCCAGATTTTCCACTTTTACTCTTTTTGTTTCTGGTGCCCTTAAAGGTATCATCTTGTTGCCTTTTATTGGAAGCTGTTTCTGGCTCCTTTCCTTCAGTTTTTCAAAATATTACTATTTGTTTTAAAAGCTGAATTGTAAATCTTGTTGATTTGTCACTAAAATAGGAACTATCATTTGGAAAGCAAATGTAGATAGCCACAATTTTCCTTGTAAGATGCTGTTTTTCAAAATCTAATTTTAAATTTCTTACATTTGTGTTTAATGATATATCTTGACCTCATTCCAATTTAATTTTCTTAGGCAATATTTGCTTCTCTATATAAGCAGCAATAAAATGCACATGTGCCATGAAAGCATAAGCACGGTACTTGTGATCAAGGCAGCTTCATTTGTATCAGAACCTCTTTTGGTCTGTGGGCTAGGGATCTGTAATTGTGAATGTGTTAATAGGTAGCATTCTTCTTTTGGACATAGAAATGTAGAAGACATGTTTTGGGAAATTAAACATTGTGAGTCAACACCTTAGACATGGGGAGAAAATCACTCCTTATAACTTTATTTTTTGTGACACTTGTAGTGGAAGCTATAGGTCTCCCTCTCAGTGTTTGTACTTAAAGCAACATGCAACGTAACGATGCTTAATACTCCTTATATCACTCTTTCTGATAATCTCTAAATGTTATGCCAGTAAGGAATACTTGTCTATCTCTTGATAGAGGAACAGGTGATATCAATTTTAGACAAGGAAAACGATAAGAAAAAGGTGAGAGATTCACACAAAGTCAAATGTGAATCAGTGATTGTTTTGGAGCAGATTCTTTTAATATGATTTTCCTTTTCTTCCCTCAACATAGAAAAGTAATTGGATATCAGATGGAAATAGATATTTGAGAATTATCCATGCACATTTTTTAATTGATAGAGAAATTAACAGAGAAATGAGATTGAGGTGTATGTTGTAAAGGGGTCAGTGGAGATAGTCTCAATACCTCTTAGAAGTGAAAGAAAGTAAAAAAGTAACAGAAATTGACTTCGTAACAAACTCAGTTGTGCTATATTGTTGAAGGGGAAGACTGCGAAACTGTCATCAAAATTGGTACTGAGATAATTATCACTACAGAATTTTTTAAGAGTAGATAGAGATTCAAAATGTGCTGTAAGCTATAAAACTAAGTAAGTTATATAAACAAGATAGTTAAAGGGAATGCCCTATTTGGCATGGACATTTCATAGCCGTCACTTAGTAGATGAAAATAGACTGTTTCTATTTTTTATAGACCTGAGCTTAAAAATTCTCCAAGAAGACAAAAAATGTCCTGGGTCACTGCATATTATCAAATGGTAAGTAATTTGAATTACGCAACTTTGAACAATGTTTTTATCATAGCTGAAATTACCCATAAGACTTACTTTATTTTGTAAGATATTTCCTTAAAATCATTTTTCTTTTCTTTCTAAGATATTGGTAAAGTTTTTGTTTTCATTTATCAAAGTATCTTTTTTTTTTTTACTATTGTCATACTGGGGGTACAATGTGACATTTATAAAAAAAGTTCTTACAATATATTGTAGTTGAATTCACCCCCTCCATTATTCTCCTTTATGCCCCTCCTTGTATTCCTGAAATAATTTCAAGGGGTCTCATGTTTCCATTTTCATATGTGAGTGCATAGTATTCCACCATATTCTCCCTCTTTCACCCTTTCCTTATATCCTCCCCGCTCCCACTGGTGCCAGCCTCCAGACAGGACCTGTTTTGCCTTTCTGTTCTCCATTTTTGTAAAAAAAAGACAAAAAAATGATGGTTAGATGTCACAAAGTAGGTGGCAATGCCTTAACCATGTATGTGTTGTCAGGCTTGAGGCCTCTTCCATCCTGGTCAAGGGGAGTGCTGACCTTCTCTCCTTTCATACAACACCTGATGTGGTTTTGATTAAAAAAAAATGGATTCATAAAAAAAGAAAAGAAACCCTCATTTGATTATTCATCATCTGTTTGTCAGTGTACTGAATATTATGGGAGCCAAAAACAAAAAATAGATGTGGTTCTTTTGTTTGTTCGTTTTTGTTTTGGGGCAGTACTGGGATTTGAACTCAGGGCCTTGTGCTTGCAGATGTGTACCATGTTCTAGGCAGATGCTGTACCACTTGAGCCATACCCTAAGCCCTCAGATTTGGTTCTTTACCTCAAAATTACTTACTATCATTTATAAAGCTCTATGAATATATTAAAAGTTTTTGGGAGTTTAAAGAGTAATTGAATGGAAAGGCAAGATAATCGCCAGCTCAGTATACCTCCCAACAAAAGATGTAAGCCAGCTCTGTACTTGAAATATTTTTGGCTTTCTATGTGGCCCACATTGACAACAAACATTTATTTCTTGACAGGATTCAAGGGTGTTTTGATGCTTTGGAAAAGAGATACGTAAGAATGTTTTAAACTTTTATACTAGAATCAAAAACTCATCTTTTACCCCTTAAAAATATAGATTTTTATTTTGTCGTGTTTAATAGTGTAGCAGTGCCTGTATTTGCATCCACAAACCAGTTTCCTTTTATTTATTTATTTTTTTATGTTCCACTGGTGTCTCCCTTTACATCAACTAGAAATGGAACCCTTGTTTTCTTCTTTTGCATACTCATATCTTTTTGACCGCAGAATTTCCTCTGAAGTGACTTCCTCTGAAGTCACTGGGAGAGAGTCACAGGATGTGGGATAGAGGAGACAAGAATCTGGCATTTAGCACATTGACCGTGTTCAAAGTAATGGTGATTCCATTTGCAGATATGAAAGGGAAAAAGACTTGAATAATCAAGTTTTAGTCTATCTTGGTTTTTTGGTAACTATGTTTGGTTCATGCATATAATCTGTTCTCTCAAAATACCTACTATGGTGCCTTTATTTTTTAAGAAGCACAGCATAAAATTTAAATGCATATTATCTCATATTTCCCCAAATAAATGGTGGAGAGTATAAAAAATGGAGGCTCTAGTCCTACTTGAAGAGATAAGAGCATAGAAATGAAATTCCTAACACTGCTTTTCCCCTTTTCCCTGTCTGTACCTTCTTTTCACGCCTCAGTTCCTATTTCTTTAAGAAATTTTGAGGTGAAATTACATTGGATTATTTAGTGCATTCATAATTCCCTCTCTTCACTTATTTATGGTTTATTCAACACTGACCCAGAGGACTAGATAAGATACTAAGATGAAACAGATGAAGGAAAGAAAGAGCCTATAGACCATGGTAGAGGGTAAGTGCCATTCATATACAGGACTGGTGATTGGTGGTTACAGACTGGCCTGGCAGTCCCCATTGGTAAAGTATGGTGGTACTTGTATATTTATGATAGGTAGCTGCTTTTTGAGGCCCCGGTTGACTGCCCACCACTCCCCCCTCCCCTGACTCCATTGGTTCTTTTGAGATCTTGATAGATTGCTCCAAAACCCAACAACTAAAGGTTAACACCTAGTCCAAGGGTTGCTTCTCAGAACCCACCTCGAGAGCTAAGTTGGCTCCTTTTATGATTGGTCAGTACCCAGGCCATGTTGAACTTTAAGTATTGATTGTTTTCTTACCAGTTTGATATTTTTCTAAAATACCAGAGATATTTTGACTATTAGCCCTGTCACAAGTGTAAATAACTGAAACACTCATTAGAAAGTGATGTCCACCAAAGGAAAGACACTGGCCATCACTTGCAATAGGAAGCATGGAAAAGGAGGGACTCTGCCCAGTGAGGGACATACTGGAAATTTCTAAGAGAGAATGACTTTGGAGCTTTGAAGGCTCAGAGTATTTGACAGGCTGACGGCAGAGGGTTGTCATTGGCATACCAAACAGCGCTCATTCTCCTTCATCCATTCACTTAGCAACACTTCCAGCGTGTTCACCATCGAGGGTGGTGCAATAGAGTTAAAAGCTAGAGTTTTGGAGCCAGCCAGTCTGAACTGAGTCCCAATTCTGTCACTTACTACTGCTGTCACTTTGGCCAAATAAACATCCTCTTAATATCTTCATTTCTCTCTATATAAAATGGGGAAATAGAGCCTATCTCTTAGGTTTGAGAAAAAACAGTGGTTCTCAGATTTTCAGTTGCATCTGAATCACACAGAGGACTTGGCAGAGCACAGATTGTCAAACCCCGTCCCTGAATTTCTGATACGAGAATTTGCATTTCCAACAAATTCAGGTGAAATTTCTGACTGTGATCTCGAGCCGTACTTTACAACTATTGATCTGAAATGTTCAGAGCAATGCCTGACATGTAATAAGCACTATGTTCATCTGTTCTTTATCCAGTGGCTACGTGATCGTGCCACACCTTGTGTCTCAGCACTGCATGAGATATTCTTGCTCAGGGAGGTCACCGTCTAATAGAGATACTTTTAAAATCAATCTGTGGCAGTTGTACAAGTACTAGAATAACAGTGTAATGTACCAAGAGTATCTTCAGTTTGATCAATTTATTTTGCTAAATGGCTGTTTGAGTGACTCAAATTAACTGTTTTGGGAAGATCAAAAGGCAAAACCTTAGAGCACTTAGACTCTTAAATAGTGTTTACTTTGTTTTTTTAGTTGCTAATTTCTTACACAATCTGGTCACTAATATGAAATAATAGTTTAAAAGTAGGTTAGGTAGGCCAGGTGTGGTGGTAATGTGCCTGTAATCCCAGCTACTCAGGAAGTGAGGGGAGGAGGGTGCAAAACCTACTGGGCAAAAGTGTGAGACCTTATCTGAAAAACAACAACAAAAAGTCTGCTAACTGAAAGCAAAAGGATTGGGGTACAGCTCAAGTGGTAGAGCACCCTAGCAAGTGAGAGGCTCTCAGTTCAATCCCCAGTACCCACCCCCTGCAAAAAAAAAAAAAAAAGAAAAAGAAAAAATGAGAAAGAGAGAAAGAAGGATCTTGGGTAAAGCCAAGCTTGGGTACCCACAAGACCTTGGAAGAGGTGATATTGAAGAAGATTATTATTTCTAGTTAGGAAATTTTGGGTGATTTCTGCAGTTTTCTTTGTACCTTAAGCACGTATATATATATTTGAAGGTACTTACTATAAAAAGAAGACTGGAGGTGAGGTCCTGAGTTCAAACCCCAGTACTGCCAAAGAGAGAGGAAGAGAGAGAAAGGAAGAGGGGAGAGGGAGAGGGAGAAAGAAAAGAAGAGAAGAGAAGGGGAGAAGAGAAGAGACTTCACATGATCTACAAGGCTATGTTATTGCCATGTGCCTTTCCAAGGCATGGCTTTTGCTCCCATGTTCAAGCCTCATAAAAATTCCAGAACCTGCCCAACTCTGCACATATCATTCCTTTTGCCTGGAGAATTCTCTCCCTGACCCCATACGCATTGCCTGCCTAACTCCAATTATCCTTGCAGTCTTAGATTAAATATTAAATATTTAATTCCCCTGACCCTCCCTTCCCCAGCCTAGATAGTCCCCATTCAGTGCTCCATGATACCAGACCGTGCTGCTTCTTCACAGCCATCAACACAGTTGTAATGGTGGAGCGATCTGTGCTCGTTGTTGTTTAATATTCATCTCCCCTGCTAGTCTGCATGTTTCCTGAATGAGGAGTCATTTTTTTTTGCATGTAAGAATGAACTTTTAATTAAATAATACAAGTTTCACTGTGTAATCATAAAATCAATTACCTGCAGTAACTAAAATGGCCACATGGTGTCACTAAGGTTTTAGTCCTTTGCTAGAGCAAGAGTTTTATAAAACATATCAGACTTTTAGATTTTTTACTTTAGTAGATTAGTTTCAAATGGGACACTTTTTTGAGATATTGTGATACATTTAATTTTGAGCAATAGTGGACTGTTTTGTGTATCTTTGCCTCCCAAATTAGAATGACTTCTTTTTTTTTGTATTTTTCTTTTGCCCAACGGAGCCTCTGAATGCAAACGACACTGTTTGAATGAATAATTAGTATCCGTATTTCTGACTTTCTGAATATTATTTCTACCCAAATATTTGGAACCTCCTCTCTGAAATAATATTTTAATTCACCTCTACTGAACATAGCAATAATCCAGGTTCAACTATATAATAACAATAGTTTTCTTTTCTTTTAAAGCTACACATGGCAATACTTACAGTAAGTACACACTTAAGAGCCTCTGTCTCTGCTTGATTTGACTTTTGGCAAGTGAAACAGTACCCTCCCCTCCTTTTTTTTTTTTTTTAATGTGACATTTTGGAATTTAAAAAATAGGATCTATCAGAAGCTTTAATAGAATATTATGAACTCTTATTTCTTGGTATATTATAATATATGGTTAAATGTGTAGGATATACCATGTGCTCCATCTGTTGGCTCAGGATTTCAAGTATTTTGTGTTATTTTTGAAGTTTTATATACCCCTGAGTATAATAACATTATGTAAGTAGTTTAGAAAGAACATTGAGATGATACCATTGAGAGTCTTAGATTGTGATTTATTTTTTAAAAATTTTAAACTGTAGCAAATTATTTAGAATTTATTTGTAGGTTGGTCATGTAAAAATACCTTATCTTTCTTACAAGGAATTTTCTTTTATTCAGTGTTCATAGAACATTCTTATTTCTTACAAAGTAAAGAGTGCCCCCTGTCCCTAGCTTGCAGTGTATTGCTAGAGAACTCAGTAGAGCACAAATCTTTGCGTGGAAAGTGTATTCTGTGAGGAGTAATCTAGCAAGTTTCAGAATTTAAATGCTGTTTATTTTCCCTTAAACAGCTTTACACAAATCCCAAGGAACCAGAGGTAAGAGGACATACTTAGAGCTTGGTAGTGTATGTATATCATATGTAAATACGTTTACATGAGTTGAGGCGGTACAGAGCAACTCAGAGTGAGCTCTTTCAGTATGTTTTATTATAATCCTATATTAGGAAATTTTCAGAAATTAGGGATTTTAGGGGAAAAAAGCATTGAGTAGAACTGAGCCTATTCCCTAACACATTAACATTAAGACTCTCTTATATATAATGTATAAAAGCCACATTTTGTTATTTATTTTATCTGGTTTTGAATTCCTTTTGTTTATTATCCTTTTGGAAAAATTAATGAGTAATTCTAATTTTTTTTTGCCGTGTAAATTCTCCCTATTCTGACCTTTTCATAGACTTTTCCAGACCTTCACCTCTTCTCTCTTCAGATTTCTTCCCTTCGCTTAGTGATTCCTACTCATCCTCAAGACCAACTCATAGTCAAACCTTTCTTGGGAGCTTCTTGGACTAGACTGTCTGCACTAACTTCTTCCTCTACATTCCTTTTCCAACAGAACTCCATAATTCTTCACACCGGGCTGATTCATGTAGCTCACTTCCCCACGCACATTGTGAATTCTTGAGGACAAGCATCTTGTCCTCAAAAATAGTTACTGCGCCCCTCTCGGGGGTCTCTGCAGAAAGGCTGTACATGACACAGAGTTAAAGGGAGAAGCCCTCTGTTCTCTCATTTTGTTTTCTTTGTCTTCCTCCTCCTTTTTTTGTTTTTTTTGTTTTTGGTGGCACTGGGGTTTGAACTCAGGGCCTCACGCTTGTTAGGCAGATATTCTACCACTTGAGCCATTTTGTGTGTGTGTTGCATCTTTTTGAGACAGGGTCTCATGAACTATTTGCCGGAGTTGGCTTCAAACCTGTATCCTCCTGATCTTCACTGGCACCCAGCCTTTTTTTTTTTTCTTTCCTTTGCTTTCAATTTTTCTTCTCCAAGTCAATGAATTTAATCTAACTGATGGTATTCAAGATGGAATTGAATGTTTTTAGCCCCTAATATCTTCTCTTTGCAAGATTACAAATAGTCATGTAAGCAAGGGGAAATAAAATTGCTGCAAATAAGTAGGTAGCAATTCTTCAATGTCTACAGTTTTCCCTCATTTTATCTGTCTCTTGTTTAGTTCCAAAATGCATCTTTGTAGTTTTGAGGGGAAGTTTCCCAAACTAAAACTCTCTAATAAATTGCTCATGTCCTTGGTACAGTGTGTATCATGCTTTCTTATGTATGTACAACTCCTAGTATTAAATCAGTGATTTTTAGAGTAGTGAAATGCTGAGCAAATTGAGCTTAACTACAGAAAAATCTTTGAGTGCAAAGAAAACTGCTTAAGTGAGTTTGGATGCTGACATAGAGAATAGAGAAGTGAGGAAACAAGTTTATTATATGGTAAGTTCTGAGCTATCATTTATGACTCAACACAAGTACTTGAACCTTTACACATGGTTCCCTGTAGTAGTGATCACTAACCACTTGGTGTTCATGGGATTTTGTGACTACTAAAACATTGGTGGTGTGCTTAAGATCATTCAGCAGCTTGAACAACCAAGTCCGCAATAATTTTAGCTGTAACTGCTATTCACAGTGCCTGAAGCATCCACCAGGTTACACATTGTTTTACAATTGCTGTTTAGCATCAAGTCACTGATACAACTGTTTTACTCCCTGTTCACACTCATATGCACTCAACAAACAGTATTCTCATGTACACATAGTCTCTGACCTTTGTCTGACACTGTGCCAAACACTTGAGTCATACATATCCCTAGAAGTATACCCTTCCCTAAACAAATTTGCACAAACAATAACAATGCTAGTATTTACCCGAAGCAAAAATAACTTTACGCATGGATTAAAATTAGCACTCTCGTGAAGACTATGTCAGTGGTACAACTGTTGAGAATCTCTGGCTTAAATCAAAGTGTACTTCTTTAGTTCAGAGGCCAACAGAGTTTGGGGTATTACACAGAGTGGTGGTGCTTTTGCACTTGAAGTTTTGTTCTGGTTGGCCCATCTCTTGAAAGTAGTAAACTGACGAAAGCAGCCAAAGTGGTGAAGAATGAGAGTGAGCATTTCTGTAGGTGCACACTCCAAAATGTTGAAGAAAAGTATAATTTGTGATAGACCATAAAGAATTACTATGATGAATATCAGGAGGACACAAATCTTAGCATTTTACCATCTGTTCCTTTGTGCCTATTAGAAGTAGTTAATACCCACTTTTAATAGCCTGCTTCAGAATTTTAGAGACTTTGAGAAATTCCTATAGGATGAAATTCTAATTGAACATGAACCCTATCTTAGCTGAGTATTTATTCAGCAAATACTAACTAGGTTCATGTTATGTGCTTAGCACTGTTTAAAGGCATAAAGGTACAGGAATAAATGGGACAGACAAGGTCTCTAACCCTCTAGAAACTTACGTTCTTATGAGAAAGGATGAACAATAAATGAGTAAACAATAAACAATATCAGACAAATGCCAAAGACTGTATTTATGTGAAAATGCCGATTTTTGAGTACATACGAGTGAGATCAGGGAGTAAGACAGTTGTATCAGTAAGCAAAAATTAGCAAAAACTATTTCAGGCCAGTTGAGGTGGCTCAGGCCTGTAATCCTAGCTACTACTGGAGGACCGCAGTTCAAGGGTTGACAGAGTGGCTCAAGTTGAACGCCTGAGTTTAACCACCTGTATCGTCAAAACAACCCACCAACCAACCAACCAGCCAACCAACAAACTAGTTTCAGACAGTCATAATGCTATGAAGAAAAAATTTAAAAGGCAGTGAGTGTGCTGAGATAGAGAATAGAGAAGGAAGGGTTGGGTGGCTGTGTGAGATTAGCAGTCCATAGACAACCTTCCCACAGGGCTACCATTTGAGCTGAGCCTGATGACCAGGAGTCAGCCTTTGCAGGTCTGTGAGAGTTATGGTGTGTGACAGGCAGAGCAACACCAGAGTTAGCAAAGTGAAATCTCGGCTCCAGCAGTTACTGGCTCCATCAGTAATGAGAATAGCTAATACCTCCCTCCAAGTGTTGGCTGCATAAGAATGAATTTGATGCAAAGCATGAGAGCAGTGCCCAACTTTTATTATCGTGACTGAAGATGGCAGGCTCCAGAGTGAGCGGCATAGAGACCTACAACAGGAAAAGGATCTTGGATATTTGTGGACAGAAAAGGTGCCACGAACCTGGTAAGCTTTGCCAGTGGGAGGGAAAGTGGCAGGAGAGGCAGGCAGGGCACAAATGAGTCGGGCCTCGTGGACCAGTGTAACTCATGGGTTTTATTCTAAGGGCAGTGGGACACCATTGTAGAGCGTGGGAAAGGCTTTAAGCAAAGAAATTGCATGGTCGGATTTGAATTTTTTCTTTTTATTTGGTGGTGGTTACTAGGGTTTGAGCTATGGACCTCACACACGGCAAGCACTCTGTCACTTGAGTCACTTCCCTGATCCTTTTTGCTTTACTTATTTTTCAGATAGGGTCTTGTGATTTTTTCCTAGGCCTGCCTCAGAGCTTGTTCCTCCTACCTAGGCCTCTTTTGCAGCTGGGATGACAGATGTCAGTCATGTCCGGCCCTGATGTGTATTTTCAAAAGCTCTTTTATGGCTATAGAATAGAAGCTGAATATCAGATGGACTTGTGATTTATTTTGGAGATAGACCTGAAAGTCTTGCCAGTGGATTGGAGTGTGGGGGGAGAAGGAAAGTCTGCACACATTGTTGCTGCTTTGATCTATGTGAGTATGTTCAGTGGGACTGATAGAAACCATTTGAGAAGTGTACAATTTCATCTAGGTCAGGTTAACAGCCTGAAAAGTGGGAGAAGATCTTGCAAGTTGTAAGGAAGACAGTAGTGCCTTCTTAAAATAGACCTTGCTTGATAAAGCAGAGTCAGTTTGAAGTTATTAAGGATTACCATCTTCTGTAAAAACTATTCCAAACACAACTCTTTTATTAGTTGCCTCAGGGATCAAATAATAAAGTTAAATAAAATTATCAATTACTAAAAGGTCTCTGTTACTTAAAAAATAAATGCTCCCAGCAGCAAGAAGCTGGAGTTGACTAAGACGAATGGACAGGCAGGAAGAATGGGCATTGTTTGTTTGGCAGGGTAACTACACTTGGCATTGACTAGGCGAGGACACCGTGTCTCTAGCCTGTCTGGAGTGTACCAGTTGCTGTTAGTCCCCTGCAAGCACCTCTAATCTCACCCATCTCTCCTATTGTACTCACAAACCAGCATTCTGAAGTTCATTTGATTTCTCAGAAAAATAGAAGAGTCGTCTAGTTAGAAAAATTTAGTTAATTTTCTTTAAACATGAACTCATTAAAATTCAGTCTCTGTAGAGTTAGGCAGCATGATTTTCCCAGATCTGACTACCTCTAATTAACTTGTATGTTGAGGTGTAAGACCAGCAGACCTGGGAGGCCGAATCTTAGAAGGAACCAGAGCGCTGAGACTCTTCCTGACCAACCTAACATTCTCATTCCTACATTGTCAAGGATTAGTACTGAACCAAATGAATGAAGGGCATTTTGTGTTCTGACTTAAGCTCATACTCTACCTGCTTTTACCACCTTCTCAAGCTCTCTGGACAAAATGTACAACTTCTCTGGGTTGAACACTTCAACCAGTGGACAAATCTTAACTTTTTTTTTTTTTTCAGTGCTGGGGTTTGAACTCAGGGGCTCAGGGCCTCAAACTCTACCACTTGAGCTACTCTTAAACTTTTAAATGGAATATGTCTGTCATGAGAAACTCTGTCCCTCTTTATTTCTGGCTTTCTAACGAGAACAGCAGATAGCAGAAGCGTCAGGTCTTTAGTATGGGGTTGAAAAAGTAAGGCTTGATGCCATACATCCCAGTTCCTTCTCCACTTTTTCTCATTTTCCTCTTGCCATTCTAGTCTTCCATGAATTACCACAGTAAGCAGCCCCTTCACTGTGCTCATGCTTTCCACGTCTTTCCCTATGTACTCTTAGCTTTGAGAAATGCAGCTCACTTCCCACCTGGAAACCCTTCAGTAGACTTCTAGTTGAGTAGAATAAAATCCAGATGCCTCACCATGGCCAGCATGGCCCCACAACCACCTGTACAACCTCAAGTCCTACATCTTCCCTCTTGCTGTCTCATCTCCAGCCCCTTGGCCTCCTCTCAACTCCTGGAAGAGGCCATCCCTTCCACTTCAGGGCCTTGGCCTGGTGATCAGGATCACCATACTTCCAGGTCTGCACATGGCTGACCCCTGTGGAAACCGAATTCAAATGTCACCTCTTCAGGGAAGCCCTCCTTGGTCTTTCCAAACCCAATCAGCATTTCTCCCCTTCATGCACTTTTCACAGAATCTGTTTCATTTTGTTTGTAGCACTTATACTATCTGAAATTTTCTTATTTCTTTTATTTTTTATTGACTCCTTGACCAGACTGTATATTCCAGAGATATGGGGAACATTTCTATCTTGCTCACCATTGTGTCTCCAGTACCTGGCACAAAATAGACATTTGATAAAATATTTATTACATGAATTAATTGTTTTTCAGCTGGTTCCACAGTCAATTGGGTCAGATACCTGACTCTGCCTTCATTTTTTCATCTTTAATGATAATGTTGGAGCTCCAGCTCCTCTGCTGGGGAACCCCTCCACAGGTTTCTTCTCCCCACTGATAGTGGTAGTATTTGCTGTTGAACTCATCTTTAGCATAGAGGAGAAAAATTAAATTATCTGTGTATCTGGAAATATTACTCCCAAATTATGCAAGGCTGTGAAGCAAACAGCTATGTAGGAAATATGTAAGTATATAATGAGAGTGTACCTTATTATCAGGTGAAATTCTGCATTTCTTTTTAACATTAATTTCTTTCTCTATTCCCTTTGGTTTTTCTAGAAAGTGACTGAGATATACCAGTTCAAATTCAAATACACAAAAGAAGGAGCCACTATGGATTTTAACAGGTAGGTCTAATTGTTTAATAAACATGAGAAATATATAGGCGTGAGATAAATGTAAGCTTCAGTAGCCCAGAGAAAAGTTGTATAATTCTTTTGTCATTGTTCCATAAACACTACAAAACACTAAAGATAGCTGATGAGAAGGAGTGGAAGGAGGAGGAGTAGATGATGGTGAAGAGCCCAGGTAGTGCTGACTCCCCGCAGGGAGTCAGAGTTCCTTGAAATGAATGACTGAAGAGAAGTGCAAAATGCTCCTTAGCCTTACTCTTAGTTTGAGGATTTCTTTCCAGTACTCCGTAATTATCCTCTCATTGGGAAGACTTAACAGACAGCACTCAGATGCAAAAAGAAAGTCAGTTCCAGAACTGAGAGTTAAACTATTACCTATCATTAGCTGACATTTGTACAGCACTTTACAGATTACACAGCACGTTTTATAAGTTATCTCGCATTAAAACACTTGCCTTTACTCTCCAAAACTCAAATATGAGTCCCACTAACAACCAGATTAGTCTCTTTTGTTTTAAAGGCAATTATATGCCAAGAAGTGAGCAGTAAAACAAATGCCAAGTCTTTCAGATACTAGGGATGTGAGAAGGTAATGCATATTACTGTTTCCTAGAAACCAAAGGGAGGCGCTGTTCAAGTGGAGTCCTGGGTATGATTTTCCTGATGTATCCTGGAAGATTCTATAATCCCAGGATCTATGTTCAAATTGGTTATGTCCTGGTAGACAAAACTTCTAAGTTGTTTGAAATTGACAGAGGAAGTTGGTGTATTCATTTAGTAAGCATTTGCTGTATGAATTCACACTGCGTACAAAGATCAGTTACAAAAAAAATCCAACACTTTCATTACTAAGGATTATTTTTCAGAACTGAGCTCAGTGCAAAGCACTGTACAAATATATGCAATTGTAGCTCTTCCTTGAAATTACTCAAATGTGAGAGTAATTGTGAAATAAAACTTTAGAGAGAACTTAAAAAAGATTTTGAATTATAGAAGGTAATTTGGTCCATCTTGTTCATTCATTCATTCATTCATTCATTCAACAAGTGTTTGTTAAGTAGCTGGACACCACGCTCAATGCCATGGAGACAAAACTCTGGCCACTCATAGACTAGCAGGGGACAAGCAATCTTCCTAAGAGGGAAGGTGCTGAGATGATAGGAAAGACTTCGTGGAAGAGGTAGCACATGAGCTAGGTATGAGATGTATTCTAGGAAGAGAAGTAGAAAAGCACAGTACAAGTGAAGTGACGGTCATGTGCAAATACAGGTGGTTGAGAGAAAATTGGGTTGTAATGGCAGATGATGGTGGCAGCGAGGATATGGCTGGATGTGAAAGGCATTGTACACATACCATCATTGCATTCAATGGATAAGAGAATAGAACTCATCACAGAAGAACTTTAAGTGAGAAAGTGACTTTCCTATGAAGAGTGTTATTTTGGCAGGGGTATGGAGAATGTTTTGCAAGGAAAGCAAGAAGAATAAATAGCCACTGTGGTAATCCATGCAACAGGGAGATGGGAATACCTTCCAGAGACCACCAGATAATAGACAGGTCCAGAGCTAGTGATTGATTTTATGCTTGTAGAACTGTAGAAATGCCTGTGCTTATCTCACAAATAAGCTAAGTGACCTAGATTGTGTCTAAATGACTTGACCGAGGTCATTCTGCTAGTTAACAGCAGAGCTGATACTAGATGCTAGGTCATCTCATTCTACCTCCATTGTTCTCATTATTATGATGTGGTTATTTGAAAGCCAAATGAGAAAATAAGGTCATATTTAAAATGCTTTAGGAGAACTTGCTACTTAGAAATTCTTTGTATATACATTGCAGAAAGCACAATCACTCTCTTAATTTACATTCTAAAAATGGCCTATAAAAATTTCTGATGTTTAGGTTATATTTATTCAACCATATAGTCAAAAGCTTTATTGTCTTAGTAGATTGTTGATACTGTGTAAGATTGAGAAGTATGCTATTTTTTATGTGATTATAGCAGTAACACAAGCTTTGAAAGTGGGACAAGCAGTGAAGATATTAAGAAAGCCAGTATTCTGATGATCCGTAAACTGTATATCCTGATGCAGAACCTTGGACCCCTTCCTAACGACGTCATACTAACGATGAAACTCCATTATTACACGCAGGTAGGTGGGGACTTTTAGTCAAATCCCTTCTTAAGTGCTGAACTAATATTTTATAGAAATAGAATGATTTTGCAAACATTGAAAGATTTCTGTTGATACACATGAAATATTAATCCAACTTGCTCTGTTGAAACTCAATTTTTATGGCTTTTTGCCCTTTCCATTTTTCAGTGACCCCACATGATTATCAACCCCCTGGTTTTAAAGAAGGGGTGAACTCACACTTCCTGTTGTTTGAGGGGGAACCTGTCAACCTGCAAGTGGGATTGGTCTCCACTGGCTTTCATAAAATGAAAGTAAAAATCACAACTGAGGCCACCAGAGTGTATGAGTTCCAGAACAGTCTCTTGCAGGAGTGCAGCACTACTGAGATTGCCCATCAGGGACTAGACTGTGATGAGGAAGAAGAGGAATGGAACAACCAAGTAAGGCCACGTTTTAGTGCTCCTCCATTGCTTTGGTTAAACACAGTTGACATTTTCAGCTTCTGTACAGGTCATGTCACAGTAACAGAGTCCAGTGGACCGTGCTAGGTGTAAAAACTGAAACAAAACTAGCCACTGACGCCAAGGGGTTTTTAGTCAAAAAGTACAGTCTTCGAGAAGGAAATATATGTTGTTGGATGAAATTGTCCTTGATTAGAAGAAAAAGGTTTCCCTGTATATTTCTTTTATTAAAGATACCCATAAATTTAGAAAATTAGGGAGTCTCTCTTCCTTTCACTTGTAAGTAACATTTTCAGGACTTAGAAATACTCTTGGTATCCATACTCAATCGAAGTCAAGTCAGCTCTCGATTGCGAGAATGATTGGGTTAGGGAAGAAAGGTGATGAATTTAACCTGAGCCAGCGTAAAAACAAAACGACAGTCAGCTCTCCTGGACAGAGAAGTTTCGGGGCCTGACCACTGGGCAAAGCCACCGACTTGGCAGAGTGGCTCTGAGCCCTTTATCTTGCTGTTTCCACAGAGACTTAGCGTTCGGTATTTTCTACGGCCCTGTGTGCCCTCAGTAAATTCACACCGTTAACTGACTGCTGTCTGGATGGTGTTTACTGTATTACTGACATTGTATTGAAAGGGTTCTGAGACAAAACACTTTGGGGCTGTTTAGTAGGAAGGGGTGCTATAAAAACTTTTCAGGAGATATTTTAACATTGGTATTCCTATTTGCCCGAGATAGTTTGAGTCCTACTTAAAGAAGGTAACTGTATTAGGTAACTTCTGAAGGTTCCTTGTAGATTTTTAACTTATATTTAGTACATTGAAAAGAGGTCCTTGTGTTAATTCAATTAATATAATTAATATAACTAAACAACAGTCTTTTTATTTTTAGTATTTTTGCAATGTCAAACATGAAAAGGACTTTACATTTTGGTCTAATTTTCTTCTTCTGATCTAACGCAAGGAAGATAAAAAGACTTTCCTGAGAAGGTTAAGTTCAACTGGTTAAATAGGCATGTGGGAGTGCTTCTGAGTCATGCTTATAGAAACTGTAGCTGCAGAGATCTGGGCCTTGCAGTAAACTTGGTTGATACAGGTGCCTCTCTCAGCCAGCCAGTCATATGAGAGAACTTAGCAAGTCTAGTGAAGGGCGACTCACATTTCTAAAGGTTCCTATTGTTTTCCTGCATGAAACATGTACACATCTATACACATCCGCACATGTGTGTGAATGTGTAACCTTTACCTTATTCCTTTTAAAAATTACTGTATTTTGAAATGTGTCGTGCATCAAGCAGTATGTGAAACTAACATGTGGAGTTTAAAGAATAGTGGAAATGTCCGTGTGCTTTCATTAGGCTGAGAAACCCTAATGTACCCCTCGTCATTGCACCCCACCTCCTGACTGATGATCCTCTGCTCTTCTTTTTAGTTCAGGGCCTGTTTAAAAATTACACAAAAGTAATCATACTCTGAGTGTGCTAGGGTTCTCTTTCCCTTGACCGTCAAAAGTGAGGTTTTTGGTCTAGAGGTATGACTCAAGTCGTAGAGCACCTGCCATGCACACTGAAGACCCTGAGTTCAAACTCTAGTACCGAGAAAGAGAGAGAGAGAGAGAGAGAGAGAGAAAGCTATTTATTGTGTGTGTGGTGGTTCTTTCATTTCCACTATTGTATTTGCTCTTTTTTGTTGTTGTGACAGGGTCTCGCTGTGTTTCCCAGCCTAGTCTCAAACTCCTGGCCTCAAGCGATACTCCTGAGTTCTGGGACTACAGACACATACCACTGTGGCTGGCTATATGTTTCCTCCCTCCCTTCCTCCCTCCCTCGTCTCTTTCTCTTTTGCAGTACTGGGGTTTGGACTTAGGGCTTCAAACTTGCTAAGCATGCATGTACCACTTGAGCCACACCTCCAGCTCTCTTTCCCTTGTTTTCTATGGGTACAGTATCAAGAATGAAATTTACAGAGCCTGGAAATGCATATAGCTCTTGGATTAGTGTATCATATCATTTCCAGAAACTGCCAGCTTCCTCACCTCCTCAGGATATATTAAATACGTGACGAGTACTTAATATGTCTTGGCTGCCTTGTGAAGAGTGGGCTCCCTTCACTAGCTGTGCTCAAGAATAGAGAGATACTTTTTGTTCAAGATATGGACGCTAGATAGAAGCTATATATAAGCTATAGATAAGCTACAGATATAGATTTTAGGATGCTGCAGAAGAAAATCATGATTTATGGGATGGTTGAACTATATTGGCCTCTGTGATCTTTATCATGCTAAGATTCACTGGGATAGTTTTTGAATTTCCTATTAAGAGAGCACTTTGCTAATCACTGTGAGGAAAACGAAGATGTATAAAATGTGTGACTGGAGAGGCAGCATCTACACATTAGAAAAAATACTGGAGGGCACATGGATGAGAGAATCTTTTTTTTTTTTTTGGTGGTACTAAGGTTTGAACTCAGGGCCTTGTGCTTGCTAGGCAGGCCTTCTATCACCTTCAGTCATGCCCAGTCTAGAAAATAATCTGGACAGTGTTCTCAATGTTCCCCACCTGTTTTATGAAGTTAATGCTGTAACTATCTTAAGTTTATATGTGAGGAAACTGAGACTTAGATAAAGTAGCCCAAGGTTTTATGCACTGTGAATGAGGAGCAGAGCTGGAGTACCAACCACGGCATTTGGATTCCACATGTGCTCTTAGGATACAGAAGTGAGGATAAACTGGCACTGTGTGGGAAGTTTCATTGAGATGGTGATTTTTATGGATGAGTCATATTTTCATTGGCAGAGATTAAGGCAGAGGACATTCCAGGCAAGTTAGAAAGTGTGGTAGGGTGGCATCAGAACTTCTGTGTCTGTGACTGGCTTGCGATTCCAACTCTGGACTTTCTACACCTCTTCTATATTTTACATGGCTTTGCCGAAATATTTTTATTCTGGGTAACCTCTAAAAAGATTTAAAAACATTTTTTAAAAATTACAACTTTCCTGTTAAAATAGGATGCATACAAACTCTCAATCCAGTCTTTGCTAGTATAAACCAATGATCCATAATAAAGAAGGGGTTTGAGACTGCTGTTAGATTCAGAATCAAAAGGTTTCCTTTTTTTTGGTGGTGGTGGTAGTGGTGGACATTGTCCTTGCTAGGCAGGCGCTGTACCACTTGAGTCACTGAACCACTTGACTCCAGCTCTTTTTGCATGGATTGGTTTTGAGATAGTGCCTCATTTTATACCAGGCTGGCCTGAACCTCCCATTTGTGCTTCCTGCTGTGCAGGTGACAAGCATGTACCACTGCACCCAGCCATTGGTTGAGATGGGGTCTCACAAACTTTTTGCCCAGGCTGGCCTTAAACTGATCTTCACGATCTCCACCTCCTGAGTGGAGGCATGAGCCACCATGCCTGGCATGAAAAAGTTAATACGAATTTTCTTTTCAGGTTCTTCCTTATCTCAGGCACAGAAAGACAAATATAGCAAAGTTTCTACAGTAGTTTAAATTATTCAGTGTTTTTACTATTCGCTCTCTGTGTGATCCATAGTTCTAAGGAAAAATGTGGAAGTGGGATTGGAATTTGGCAGTGGATTCAGAAATGATAAGAGTACACACCTGAAAGTTTAAAATTTTTAAATTATAAGAACTCTAAAAACCTAACTCCATTAAGACGATAGAACACGGAACCCAAGTAAGAGATCAAGGAATTCTAGAACAACACAGGGTTACTTTAAACTATCTAAATATGTCCCTGTCATTTTGTCTGTCCCCCACAACACTTTCAGGTTAGGTCTTCATTCCTAATAGAGGTGATTTGGACTCAAGTCCTAGCTAGAAAGTCCCCATAAACACAATGGTACGTCACAGAGCTCTGGAAGTTGGGCCTGTTTTCCCTGCTATAGTCAACTGGACAGATAGCAGTAGACCTCTATGTATACCTAAGGCAGCTTCCCTTAGAGAAAGGCTTCGTCAGAGAAATTAATCAACACACGTTCTGGAATTGGATGTAGAATCTTATTTAAATTTATGTTAAGATTAAATGCTGAGGGAGAAGTACTCTTTCCTAACAGAATTAATTAACCCAGTCTACTTAAAGGACTATAGTAATTACTGACTCATAAAGACAGCTGTAAAAAGATGGAAGACTAGCCAGGCACTAGTGGCTCACACCTGTAATCCCAGTGATTCAGGAGGCGGAGATCAGGAGGATGGCAGTTTGACGTCAGCCCCAGGCAAATACTTCTTGAGACCCTGTCTCGAAAAAAACCTTCACAAAAAAGGGCTGGTGGAGTGGCTTAAGGTGCAGGCCCTGAGCTGAAAAAAAGATGGAAGACTACTGTTGGCATTAGTCTGCTAATAAGATGTATTCTTTGTAGGCCAGTGGTTCTAGTTTATTAAGCAACATGGTCCTTTGGGAATTAATATTTTTGTCATATTTTAGGTAGTGGTCTTTGATGAATTTTTCTTTTCTTTTAAAATTATAATTGTTGGATTGGAGGCATGGCTGAAGAAGTAGAGCGCCTGCCTAGTAAGCGCGAAGCCCTGAGTTCAAACCCCCGTGGCACCAAAAACTTTTTAAAATTGTTAACACACATTAATTATGCAGGTGAATGGAATTCGTTGTGATGTTTTCATAGTGCATAAAGTGTGCTTTGATCAAGTCCACTCCATTTCTAATAGTCTCTCTACTTTCAGGTCATGTGTTTTTTCAGTTTTCACCTATAAGAAAACATGTGACACACGATTTGTATAACATGGCACCTTCTAGTTCTGTCCAGTTTCCTACAAATGGCAGAATTTCATTTTTCTTTATGACTGAGTATTGTGTATCTAAATCATATTTTCTTTGTTCATCTGTTAATGGGCAATTAGGCGGATTCCATATCTTGCTGTTGTGAATTAGTGCCTCAACAAATCTGTTGTATGCTGGCTTCATTTCCTCCAGCTTATACCCAGGAGTGGAGGTACGCAGCAGTCTTCCA